TAAAAAGACATTTGTAAGCGTGTAAAATGTATTCTTAATAGAAATAAACATTTAAGTAAAAATGCAATGGAATATAAGCAGGATTATTTTGTATTATTTTCTCGAGTTTTATCAGTGTGGAAACGTGAAAAGAATAGTTAATTCTGAAGATATTGTAAGTTTTGAACATTTAAAACGACGAATCTTGCATTTGAAGAAATCAAAATCTGGGATATGCAGCAAATAGTAAGACAAAATTTAGTTCAAAGACTACAACTTTGTATACTAGAAAATAATCAACATTTTAAACAATATCTTGCCTAAAAAGTATACACTAAACAAATAATAATAAACTAAGCTCAACTAACAATACAATGGTTACTTTATTACCATTATTTATTACGTTTAATGTGTATAAAATCAGTTATAACAACGTTCTATGGTGGAATCGGTAACATCGGTTATTAATTAAGTACACGCGTACTTATACTGATTTTCAAATGCATTCTTCTCGAAAACGAAGCCTACCATGCAATTTCATTAATCTTGATTTTCGTCTTATTTTGATCCGTAGAATCATCCCGACTCCATTTGTACCATGAATTTTGGAGCACCCTGTATGTACGTATAAATTAAATTTTTCATTTGTCAAAAAAGAAGAGGAGTGAATAATTTGGAATAATATAGAAATAAATTTAATTAAAATTGGGGCTTTCTCCATGGTCTGTCGTCCAATGGTTAACAAACTTCTATTAGTTATTATAAGGAACATAAAATTGAAAAAATCATAGATTTCACAAACGTGCAGCAGTTAATAAATCTGAGAGAAGAACCGCACAAACTTTTTCCGGTACCCAATGGTTACGCCAATGCTTGGTCCCTTTCTTGATGACGATAATTTGACATCGAGCATCGGTCATCTGAAGTAGAAGTGAAACGTCGAAAGTAGCCAGCCTCGTACCATCACGATCGCCGGAATAAAAGTGAAAAGGAAATGGAATACGCTTCTTGTAAACAGGACTCGTCGTATTAAGCCGAGTGTGACATAACGGTGACATGAATGTCTTCAGCACTAATCTCTCCAAGTAAAATGAAACGCGTACTTACGGCTATTAAGCTCCTGTCAACGTGCCCCGGTGTTCACGTGTCCACGTTTGCTCTACCGTTTCAGGAAAATCTGTCTGGCAAGCGTCGCTAACAGGTTTCCCATAGAATCACATGAATCGGCGTCATTTTCCTGCTGGATGAGGATTACATGTAACGAATTTGAAAGTTGAATGCAATAAACGTGAAACGACTCTATAATCGTAAAATTGACAAGCACCATTTGAATAATTTAAGACGAATGTTCGTCCATTATTCGAAGTAGTATATTAAGATACTGTAATAGTAAATGAACTTCCAAGACTTCCTTTTTTAATCCTCGGTAACATATACAGTACAGTGGCGTAACTATAATTGTCTGATAGATGGGTCAATATCTCGTTAGTATCATGATAATATTAAATCTAATTTTCTACATTCTTTTGTTCCCGAAAATGTTACTTGAAATTTTTGAAAATATTCTGGAAGTTATTAAAAAAAAGGTTTTTAGTTTCCTGATAAAGATGTCAGCTGATCCTTCTGACCCCCTCCCCCCAGTTGCGCTGCTGAAACAGAATGTTCCAATTCCAGTTGATGAACTTCCAGGATCTTATAGGAAATGATATTTTGAACCACGAAGTTTTAATAAATTTAAAGTAAATTAAAAAGTAACAAAATAAATAACCTGTAATCGCTATAAGATGTTCCTCCTCCCCCATTCCCACCACGAAACAATGTATATTTTGCTAGAAACATCTTTTACAATAATAAACTTTTTTAGAAGTTAGTAAAGATTCAAATAACACACCCTGTATAGAGCATGATTTTTCTTTCAATTAATTAATTAAATACAATTGTAGAATAAATATGCATTTGTAATTTAAATCTTGAATTCCTTGAAATTTTTCACTAATTTAACTTATCAGTAATTCATTAATTTTATTTTATTTATTAACTGTGAATGTTTCAATTTTGTGAGTCTAATTCTTAGTTAAATTATGTTAACCTCGCCTCTTCAATTTAAGGTGCTTACATAAAATTTTAAATCTAAAAATTTGGAACTTATTATATGTATAAAATTAATACTGAATATCTGTATATTTGTTAACTTTCAATATTTTTTTTAAATGTTCAAAGAGTGATTTAAAACTAGAAATATTATTTATGAATGAATATGAATTCATTAGATATGCTAATAAACAAGATATTCCAATCTATGAATTTAATTTCTAAATTTACCAAGGCTAATCATTGAGGTGTATTCAGTCGAAGATAAAATGCAAAGTCTGTTCGTCGATATTTTCTTGAATTTCTGTATTGTCGAAAGAAATCAGCGAATGGTAATTGTACAACGTTTACATGCACGAGGAGAGTTTCTCGAACGTTGTGTAAAGATTATGTTATCGTCTTGGCAGGGGATATCGTAACGTGTTTTGTAACTTGCTGTCTCGGTGTGCTGAATATTAAGTTTGTTCTACGATACGCACCGAGAAATCACTTTGCAAAAGTTAAATAACGCTTTTAACGTTTCCAAATATTCCTTTGCGAAAGCAACAGATAACTGCTGGAATTGATTTTAAGACAACACCTTGTTATGCTGACAAATTTACAAGTCTGCAAAAAATGAGGATACTGATTAAATAATTGTTCAATAAGCCTTGTACTAATTGCAATATGTACTTATTACTTTGAGTAATAAACAATAAGTATGTTTATATTATTTTTGTACAAGATTTATGATTAAAACCTTATTATAAAATTATAATTCTTTGGTAAATTAAAATTGTATTTTTAAACGTTATGTAACATTAATACTAGTAATATAATATAACGTAATATTAATACTAATAAAAATACAAACATTTTATTTTTTGTTTTTAAAATTATTGTTCAAAACTCTTTACTATCGTCATGTGGGATATTAAAAACAATATGAATTTGAATTTAACATTTCTCAAAATATTTTATACAATTTTGTAAATATCATCACCCATTATATTTTTAAGGGGTTATTTTCACCTGTAGAATGCTTTTATTGCTAAAATAAAAAATGGCTTTATTATTGGTGTCACTTAAACTACATTTTTGTCTAAATCCAATTTTTTTTTTTTTATTTTCCATTTACCGCACTTTCCTTGTAAGAATACTAATGAAACAATTATGTAGATATTTTTATCAAACGATAAACTTCAAATTGATATGCCATAAGTGTCATTTTGTGGTGCTTTTATGACATCAAATCGTGTCAGACTTTCTATATTTCGAAATTGACCATTTCATGGCAATAGCCTAATACAGCAAACACCGAAGAAAGAGGTTTAATGTATGACCATCGATAAGAAAATTGTTTAATTTGAATTAACGATGACACGAGTGGATAAAGGTGTCATGTTGCAAATTAATTATTTAGAATAAAGTTGATTTAAAGATTTTCAACTGGAACTTTAATATGCATTCTATTTTTGCAGTTAACAAGTAATGATTGAGGAATTATATTATTATATTGCCACTGAGAGTAATAATAAGAAAAGCACATTTTCTCTTTCAAAATAAAAGACAAAAATAATTAAATGTTCTTCAAATTTTTAAAAGACAAAATTACTACTATTTTTTGAAAATTCGAAGTTATAGAAATGGAAAAAAATTAAAATACTGAAAAGATGTAGTGCTATTTTCTTAGTATTATTACACAAAAAATCAATTCATCTTATGTCCAAATCAAGAAAATCTTATGTCCCCACTTGTGTCCTTAATTATGTTATTAGAAATACGTTTCATGATACATTCCTGGTCATTATTAATTATTAACAATAAATGAAATTAACAGTAGGAGTCAAATAGCTCAAAAACCACTTAATATTACTAAGGTGTTTAATATTTTTATTGCCTTTTTCGAAAATCATATACAGTTGAACTTATTCTTATAATCGTCATTAGTATAATTTTTTAGCACTAGTGAGTATTACATATTGCAATTTCATAAAATTGAACAAACGATACATTTTCAACGAAAATTTTATAGAAAAAAGTTGATGCTCTTGAGATGCCTTTGACATCTTCATGCATGAAAAAAATTAAATTAAGCCAAAAAGTGTGCTCCTTAAAATACTTCAATTTTTCTTAATTACGTTTTTTTTATAATACCAATATTTTCTATGATAATCAGTTAGTCAATTAAAAAATGTAATGAAAATACATCAAATTTTATAACTGATAAAATATGTATTAAATATCATTTAAAATTCTTTAATTGCATAGTGATTTTCATCTTCGTTGAAATAATATTATACATATATATGTAGTATACCATGATTTGTTTCCAGGACGATTCATTAAAGAGATATCTGTGAAAGTTCGTCATCTAGACATGGTAGAAAGTCTTTTTTTGTTGAGCAAATTAGAAGGTATACATATACATTACTGAACTGATCTATCCAAACGTTTGATTTTCTATAAAAATAAATGCAATACAAAATTCTGTAATATATGTTGAATAATTGGAACATGACATTAAATTCTTTATTTTATTTTTATTTCACAGAAACAATTTCCACTTCGACATCAGAACTTTGGTTAACTAATTTGAAGTAATGATTTGAAGTAATTAAATAAACTAAAGTGAAAAAAATGTTCTAATTGCTTGATGAATCGAACTATCTTTTCCACTTGATTGAATCTCTTCAATTACAAATTTTTTTGGTTATCACTGGGCTCTTGGCTTACGCAAAGTCTCGATTCATTGTCAGTATTATTTTTATGCAATTGAAGTAAATGCGAAATGGAGTCTATTTATCCCTGGAGATTTCGTTACCCGCCTTACATCCAAAGGCGCCGAATATGTAGTATTAAGGGGGTGCCCTGCTTTATAAGGTCGAAAAAATCGATTTTTTCGCGATTTTTTTTGAAAGGGAAACAATTGATCTTCATCAACGTGCAGGTATATTTAAACATATATTTAATGTGTTCAAAAAAATTTGTTTTGTTATCAAATTGTACAACATAGCCAAATTATCAACCGATTCGCGGAACGCCTTTCCAGTTTCCACTGCTGCCTCCAATTGGCGGGAAGGATGCTGCTGGTCGTATTTCTTGTTTGAAATGAAAAAATCCAAATGGTTTTTAATGCTGACATATTGTTCTTCTGGGTGAACTAAGAAAAAGCAGAAAAAAGCGCGAAATCATACTTTTTTTTAGTTTAATGAATAGACCACTTGGAAATGGTCTGATAATTGTGAAGGCACTCCGCTGCCCAGCGGGACCCGAAGTGTTGCACCTTCTGCTGGATGAGCTGCCAGCGGGATAATCTGGAGGTGGCTAGCGAGGCGAGGGAGGGTTCAGGAACAGAGGTGAGAGCATTTCCGATAAGGAAGTGACCAGCTGTCAGAGCGGAGGGGTCCTCAGGATCCTCAGTGAGGGGGCATAGGGGCCGAGAGTTGAGAATAGCTTCTACCTGAGTTAATAGGGTAGTGAGCTCTTCAAAGGTGAGAAGTGTGTCTCCAATAGTCCGCCGGAGGTGGTGCTTGACGGAGCGGACTACTGCTTCCCATTTTCCCCCGAAATGAGGGGCTGTTGGAGGGTTGAATTTCCATTTGGTCCCGTCATTGGCGAGCCGTCCTGCCAGCTCGTGGAGCTCCTTCGAGGCAGAGGAAAACAGTCGTCGCAGCTCTGCGTCGGCGCCTTGAAAATTGGTGCCACAATCGCTGAATAATGTCTGCCAGATGCCGCGACGGCTGACGAATCTCCGATAGGCAGCGAGGACCCCGTCCGAGGAGTAGTCCGAGATCAGCTCGAGGTGGACGGCAGAGGTGGCAAAGCAGACGAAGATTACCCAATCCAGCCCTTGAAGGTTTTCGCTCCTCTCGCTTTCCATGTGCGGAGGAGCACCAGTCCAGCGTAGCCCACGCCGGTGTTGAGGAAGGCCCTTGATGGAGTGACCCGAGCGGGAGGTAACTGGCCTATTAATTGCGCGGCTTGAAGGCCCCGGAAACGGGCGCATCGTACGCATCGAAGGATGTGAGCCCTCACCGGAGCACGGCCGCCTAAAATCCATTAGGATCGCGGGAGGTGTGCCAGGGTCGCCTGTGTGCCACTGTGAAGGGTGCGCAGATGCGCGTCCTTGATGACGAGATCCGCCGAAATTGTTTCCTTGGGTAGAATCGCTGGATGTCGAGCGTCAGAGTCCAGAGGTGTGTGTTGAAGGCGGCCACCAACTCGGAGGATGCCATCACGTTCAACGAAGGCGGTCAATCGAGATAGCGGATGTGCTCGAGGGAGGGTTCCGCCCGCGAGGGGAGTCCGCAGTTCAGAGGAGAAGTGAAAGCCTTGAGTGGCTCGGATGAGGGAGGACTGTGCGCTCGCGAGGTCCCTTGGAGAGAGAGAAATGTTCAATGAGGAGTTCGGTAATCGACGGAGGCGCGCTGCCACTCTGTGGCACGTCGCAACAACCCTGAAGAGTCGGGTGAGGGAAGGATATCGTTCAATGAGGTGCAGGAGGAAAGGGTGTTGGCCCACTGTGGCAACGTGGGTTACCTGAGGTCTTTCTTCAATTGATGCGTCTGGATGAGGTGTTGATTGACCCGTCGGCCACTCCTGGGGAGGTGCCTTCAACCAGTCTGGTCTCATCCACCACAGCGTGTGGTTTTTCAGCTGGGTAGGTGTTAGACCCCGAGATCCGCAGTCAGCTGGGTTGTCTCGCCCTGAGATGAACTTCCAACGGGCGGCAGGTACGGCGCGGCGTCTTGAATTGCCTCGACTCTATTCCGTACAAATTCCTTCCATCTCGAGGGGTGATGGCTGATCCAAGTCAGCGCGACAGCGGAGTCCATCTAGAGGTGTACCGGTGCAGAGGAAAGCTCGAGGGTATCCCGTACATATCTCGCAAGCTTTGCGAGGAGAGCGGCCGTCAACTCTAGCCGAGGGATGGTAAGTCTCTTGAGGGGCGCCACCTTGGTCTTGGCGTAGACCAGAGAGAGGATCGTCGGCGACGTAGAAGATGAGATCCGAAGATATACGAGAGCGACCAATGCGTGTTGCGAGGCGTTTGAGAAGCCGTGTATCTCAACTCGAGCTTGCGGGGTGAGGTTGAACCAGCGAGGAATGTGGAGGTCTACGAGGTCCTGTAGCTCCGTTCTGAAGGTTGTCCAGCGGAAAGCCGTGGTGGGAGGGAGTGGTTCGTCCCATCCAAGATGCTCCAGTCACAGCCCCTGGACGAGAATTTTCGCCCGTATCGTGAGGGTTGCGAGGAAGCCGAGCTTATCGAACAGGTGTGCGACTTCGGAGAAGATGGTCCGTTTCTTCACTGCATTTCGAAAGGTCAGTGCAGCGGAGAACCAGAAGTGATCCGCCAAAGGCTGCCAGGATAACCCCAAAATCTTCGTGCTGAGATCGGAAAAGTCCAAGACAGAGCGAGAGGTATCGCCGTCTCCGGAGATAACCTTGAGGAGCTCTGGACAGTTGCTGGTCCATTTTTGAAGCGGGAACCCGCCCGCCATACAGAGCTGAGTCAGCTGTAACGCGACTGCCTCGGCTTCCTTGGCCGTGTCGCCTCTTCCGAGGATGTCGTCCACGTAGCGACCCTTGAGGAGTGGAGCTACCGCGAGGGGGTACCGGTGACCTTCATCTTGGACGGGTTGCAGCAGAGCTCTTGCTGCCAGGAATGGAACCGATCGAGTGCCGTAGGTGACCATAGTCAACTGATAACTGACCGTCTTCCCTTGAGAATCCGACCAAAGGATGCGCTGGAGGTCCCAATCATCCGGATGTACAGCAACTTGTCGAAACATCTTCACGATGTCCGTGGTGAACACGTACCGGAACCGTCTGAACCGCAGGAAGACGTCCGAGATATCTAGTTGTAGCTTAGCACCCGTGTGCATGAGGTCGTTGAGGGAAGTTCCCGATGAGGTTGCGCTGGAGCCGTTGAATACGATCCGTAATTTCTGCTAAGAACCCTTGGGGGTTAAAACCCCGTGATGTGGGAGGTAGAAGATCGTGGAGGTGCCCAAGGAGGCTTCCGAGGCTGGTTGCATGTGGCCGAGGTCTTCATACTCCTGCAGGAACTCCTTGTAGAGGCGTCCGAATGCTTGGTTGACTGTACAGCGCCGTTGAATCCGTCGAAGGGCTCGAAAAGCTGTCTCGTAAGAGTCACCGAGGTGAGTCCGAGGCCCCAGCAGAAGGAGTCGCACCATATAGCGCCCAGAGGAGTCTCGAGAGTGGGTGCGAGCGAAGTGTGCCTCACATTCCTGCTCTTCCGGAGTGAGCGCTTGAGAAGGTTTGGATGGGACTTCTTCTTGAATCCAAAATATGGTGAGGAGCTCGTGGAGCTCATGATCAGCTGTTCCGTGGAGAGCTACCTTCTCTCCGTGAGGTGATCCGGTGACGAGGGGTCCGAGGACTACCCATCCGAAGATCGTAGGGAGGGCTATCGGCGAAATCTGGTCAACTTTAACCATTTTCGGCAAGAGGAGCTGGCCGAACACATCGACTCCCAAGATGATGTCAATGGGGCCGGGAACGAGGAAGTCCGGATCCGAAAGTTGCAATCCTGAAAGATGACGTAACCGAGTTGAGGTAACCTGTACAGAAGGAAGCGTTGTGATGACCCGAGGCAGCACGTGAGCCTCGACGGGCAGAGAATTGTCCGAATGCAGCGCCCGAAGGTTGATTCGGCAACTGCGGTGGTCTCTTACGTAAATGAAGTAGAGAAACTAACCTCTCCGAGATAAACGAGAGTTCCGAACCGGAATCCAAGAGCATCCTAACCGGATGAGTCCGTCCCTGAGGTGCGACGAGGAGACCCCTGGAGCTGGCGAGGAGAACCGATGATTGGAGGAGGGCCGATTGAGGTGACTCCTCTTGGAGGATAACACAGGCGGTGCTGCACTGCCACACGTCGGCGCTTGATCACCGGGAGCGCGTGGAACTCCGCGCACTCGGTTATGTAATGCCGCTTTCCGCATATACCGCAGAGACCGTCTTTATAATTCGGAGGTAGCTCTGCAGCATGATAGGCCCGTCTGGCGACGGCTGGAGGTGGTCGTGAGGTAGCTCGTGCAGCGCTGGGTGGAGACCGAGAGGCGATCGAAGGACGTCCTGAGGTGGCCGGTACTCTCGACCCTGAAGTCTCGTCACGGGAGAGCTCGAGGGTTTCCCGTGCTCTAGCCCGTCCAATAAGGAAATCCTGGAGGTCTTTCCAGGAAGGGTGCTCGTCCTTGCGCCCGATGTGGTTCTCCCAGGCCTCGCGCGTGAGGGGATCCAAACGGCGCACAAGCAGGTGCACCAAGATGACGTCCCAGTGCTCCACTGGGACGTGGAGGCCCTTAAGGGCGTCGAGAGCCCCCTTCGCCTCCGAGAGGAGACCGTTGAGGGCCTGCGAGGACTTTGGAGGAAGCGGTGTCCCGTTCACGAGGCGCTCAACTTGTGCGGAGATCAGGAAGCGGCGACTCTCATAGCGGCGAGTCAGTGTCTCCCAGGCATGAGTGAAGGCATCCCCACTCACGGGGATGCTCGCAACGAGGCGAGAGGCTTCTCCGGTGAGGCTGGCCTTCAAATAAAACATTTTTTCGACCGGTTCCAAGTCGACGCTGTCCCCTACCAGTGCCGAAAACAGGTCGGCGAAAGGGCGCCACTCCGTATATACTTCCGGCGAATATCGGGAGCTGAATTTTGGGGAGAAATCTTCGTACCCCTCCCGAGGCGGCCATGAGTGAGCTCCTTGCGAGGCGATCCGCGGTATGTGGTGAGGCCTTTTCCCGTTTTTCACGTAGGGTCGTGAGTATTGACTTCGCGGAGGAGTAGGCTTCGATGGCTCGCACATACGTCTGCTCCTTGAAGTAGGGGTGTTCCGTGAGGCCTTCCACCTCGGTCTCGCACAACTTCTCGTGGAGGGCCTCGAAATTGGTGAGGTGCCCGTCAAGGAAGCCTTCCTTTTGTGTCAGCGCCGAGAGACAGTAATCTTCAAAGGCGCCCTCCTTAGCCTTCGTGGCCATCGAGAGGATGACCGTGAGACGCGACGCCTGTAGATCGAATTTGTCTTCAAGGGCAGAGGCGGCCATTTTGCTGAACGTCCGGCACGAGGAGAGCACTCACGCACTAACCGTTCTTACCGTATCCGGCTCGAAGGACCACTTTGTCTCGAGGAGGATGAGGGGAGCCGGGGTAGCGTCCGTACACACAAAAAAAACTGAAAACACACGAGGTAGTCTTGGTGGTCAATTTATTAAAAGAAACCAAAAGTCAAAATTGAGGAGGCCGGCCGTTACACCTTGCGACGGAGGTCACGCGGGCAATAATTACAGTTCGTTTTCTCGGCACGACACTCGAGGTTCACCCACGCTGTTTGTTCACACACACACACAGAGTTATGACCTGAGAAATTCACGCGGAAGTCCGAATATAAGCGTCTCGATGAAAACCGAGGTGCCCGTTTCGAATATTGAAAGCCGAATCGTTAGAGGGAGGTGACCGTTAACGAATTACCAACACGTGGCGTCGTCGAGGAGTTCGAAAATTCGGTTTTCGCCGGAATTGGCGAGGAACCGCGCTCCACGCTACCGAATACCGCTCACGATAACCCGGGATGACAAGGGAACACTTCCTTTCACTTTGCAGACGCCGATAGATCACAAATAAACTCAAAAATGCACAATAATTGGCAGCGAGATGCAACCGTGATCGTTGTACAAAACGCAATAATGGCGACGCGGCACGCGTCGCTCGCACGAGGAATTTAGTTAACGAAAAAGAACGCGAGGCGGCAGCACCTCCCGGACGGGCCCCGTGTAACAAGAAGACCCTTTATTCGCGCGCTCACGCAACACATATAAATGATAAAAAATGAAGCAGTCAAATAAATGAATATTAATAACAACGTTAATGCTTAGTGCTTAATGAAAATAGTAATAATGAAGCAAGCATAGGTATAAGTAAAAAATGATTGAATGTTTAAAAAAGGATAAATAAATAAATATTTTAATCATAAAGTTGGATACCAAAAGATGTTCCAAATACGATTGAAAATATTAAATGTTATAATGTTTCAACAAAATAATATTTTAAATAGGAAGCGAAATTTCGGGAAATACAGGGTGTTTGGTTATGAGTAGACATCCTTTTAGTGCGTGGTAGGCGAGGTGATTCTGAATAACTTTCTCCTTCACCAAAATGCTCTTTAAGACTTACTTTTTGAACGTTAATGAAAAACACTGACCAATCAGAGCGCGCATAGCGCGCAGGCTCAGCTGCGGGAGTGTCGGCTATGAGAACAAACTACTCGGCACCATGTCAAGTTCGGTTCGTAGCAAACACTCCTGCGACTGCGCACTATGCGCGCTCTGATTGGTCGGTGTTTTTCGTTAATAATTAAAAAATTAAACTTTAACAAACATTTAGGTACAGGAAAAAGTTGTTTAGAATCACTCCAGCTACCATCCTTTGCGAGGATGACAAACCCGAAGTTATATTTAGGGGTGTACAGGTATCCGAAAATTTTGGTCAAGCTCGGGTTGGGAATTTTTTCGGTTTCGGACGTGTTCCCGAAAGTTTGTCTAGTCTAGCATATGTTCGGGTATCCGTTATCTCGGATCCCGAATATTAACTCGGGACCCAAACTCGACTTAAGACCCAAAACTCAATTACATCTGATTATACACCACAACATATGAAGACATTTTCAAACTTAAGAATTTATGGTAAGTCTGAAAAATCATGCCTTGAATGCAGTGTCAGCTTCCGAATTGAGTTTTGAGGCTCGAGTCAATTTCGGGGCCAGAAATTATAAGTACTTGAATAAATTGATAAGCTGAACAAACTTTTGAGGTCTCGCCCAATCCGACCTGGGGCTCAAATACTCGAATTTTCGGCTACCTGCACACCCCTAGTAATTTTTTATTCGACATAATATTCTATACAGTACATTATAAAATCTAACTTTCAGTAAAGGAAGAATAGTATCCTTCTACAATATTAAAACTAAAGACATTAAATGAGTATACACTTGTGAGAACCTCAGTTTTACAATCTGTTGTTTGTTATAAAATGAAATTTTCAATAATATTGATCTATGGTGGAATAAACAATAACCATATTAAATAATCAGGTATCTATTAAATTCTCTATTTATTCATAATTTATAATTTTGTATAATAATTTTTATATATATACACGAATATTACTTTAATTTGTACATTAACACTTAAATAACTTACTAACTATAAAAAGGAAGTTGATTTGTTCGTTAAGTTTCAAAATCTACAAAGTAAGTTTAACAATTTAACTATAAAATTATTTCAGTAAACATTTTAGTTTAATTTTTGTATAAAAATTAATACTTTTACTTAAAAACAAAAATCCTGTAATATAAAAGTTTTAAAAAGAAGTTTGCTAATTTGCTGAAGTAACTGAAGAAAAACAAACTGGAAAGTTAGAATATTTGCTTGAAAATTAGTAACATTAGTTAAAAGCAAATCTTTGTGATGTAACGTCGGAGGCAGTGTGGGGTAAAACAGTACATCAAATAAAAAATAAAATTACTTGCACAGATTATTTGTTATAAGGTGTTACATTGAATAATTTGAAATAATCAGTCTGATTGAAATGATATTTGAAATATTTATTTGATATAACAAGTACACTATTGGCAAAAATTATTGCATCACTTCAGCAGTAGTAAAAAATTGTTAGAATTCAATGTTGCTATAACTTTGTTAACATCTATCAAAATGTGTTCAAACTAAAAAATAAATTAAAACTTGAATGTACCACTTTTTGACATTTTCGTTTCATTTTATTTAGGGTGGTGCTTAAAGAGTACGTGTACATGTACACCTACATTTTTTTTAGTGCATCGTTGCATTCACGAAGAAAATGAAGTCATAGAAAAATAGACATTATCATACCATTCAACTTTTACATGAACAGCTTTTTCCTATCTGTTACCAAATTCAAGATATAACCCGTCCCAATTGCGTGACGCACCCTGTATTTTCAGAAACCTATAGTAACTCTAATTTTCGCAACTAATAAAAAATATAGAGGAGTATTAGTCAATATTCTGAGTGAATGCAAATAATTTAAATAAATAAATAGCTCACATACAACTCATGTAAATATTTGTAGAATTATTGCAAAGAGAAGGTATATTCTTCTCTTGTTATACCTCCTCTCTGAGCGAGTTTGTTATGGGGCACTGTGAAAAATCCAGGCGGGCGGGCGTTAGTCAAAACTTAGCGAAAAGGGACAATCTCAACATTTAGAATGAGAAAAAGCCAGCACGACTGTAGTGCGTCTCATTCAACGTTCGAGCATTGTTGCCTTTTTCGCTTGCCCTCACAGACACAGTTCGAGTGACGTAACCAAGCTAATGCCTGATTTTGGCTACGATTCCAAATCGACAGCCTTCTTAGTTAGACGCCACCTTATAACTACTAGCTGAACTGAATTTGTCACGTGACTTGCTCTGTATTATCCACAAAATGGCGGACCTGGTCTGTAGGAATGCTTTTACAGGATTCGACTTTTCGTCCTTATATGAGAAAATTTGGGGCTGGGTGAGGGCTTATTCGAAAGAGGAAGGTCTAATGCAGTACGGTCAATCACAGCACTCTTTTAGTGGTCGAAAAATGCTTCGATTCCGCGACTGCATTTTGTCGATTTTTTCCTCTACTTTCGACGCTTATATTACTAAACATCAATATAATTCCACTGAAACATGAGTTGACCGTACTGCACTGGACCTTCCTCTTTCGAATAAGCCCTCTCATATAAGGAAATTCTCTCATATAAGGACGAAAAGTCGAATCCCGTAAACCCATGTTTAGGCCCATTTTTGCTGGTAAAGTCAACGTGCTACTATTACCCGTGTCTACCCCCTTAAGGATATTGTGTTTGAGTCTTTTCTGAATATTTTGGACATTGCAAGAGAATATGTTTCACACTGTAGATGGAAGTATATATTTTTTTTCAAATCATGTGATAGTGCTTCTTAAGACGAATTTATCACCCGATTTTAATTAGTTTTCAAGATATAACGTTTACAAATTTGCCGATTTTCAGTAGATACGTCTCGGTTTGAGTAGCAAGTCGTAAAAGCGGCCTTATTGTTGCGGTAAGTACCACAGCGGGGGTCTACGCTAGGAACGGCAGACCCAAAGAATAAGCACTATTGGCACTTACCGCATCAATAAAGCCGCTTTTACTACTTACTACTCGAATCGAGACGTCTCGGCTGAAAATTAGTAAATTTGTAAACGTTACATCTTGAAAACTAATTAAAATCGGGTGTATACAATAAAGCTTAATACATTTGTCTTGAAAAACACTATCACATGATCTGAAAAAAAAAATGTATAGTTCCATTTAAAAAATGAAACTTGACCATCATATCTTTTAAACTAATAATGTAAAAAAATTTTCGTTCACGCCAAAACGTAGGCCCCATTGTACCGTGTAATTTCCATATAAACAATTTTTTGTATCATCAATAGTTAAGAAATAAAGCAGCTGTCACACCTTGTATGTATTTTTCATCGCAATCTGGACATTTCTTCGGTTCTTCTTTTGTTATTAGCATCTCGATTATCTGAACTAATTCTGTTTATAATGAAAAATTATAATTTATTACATAATATATGTATGCATTATATATATATTGTTTACTCACTTTTGTCCTCGCAATCTTTTTGTGTTGCCAAATTGCATATTGCTTTTTAACGTTAATAATTGCGCTGGGGTTCAAATTTATATTTGTCATACGTAACCCACAGTATTTACCCGGCTGATCCATGTTCAGATAATCGAGGTTTTACTTTACTATAGTGGATGGGGGTTATACCTATTCGTATATCCGATTCTTACGATTAATCTTATTTTATTGTTAGTTTTGATATGTTTTATAATATTAAATATGTATGTCTCGAATTTTTCTATTGTTTATTACATAATGATTCTAATAGAGTTTTTATTGTATCTTTCAGGTCCTTGTAATATATTGGTATTAGAAAGTATTCATCCGTTACAGATGCCCTTTTAGTAGCGCCATCAGCCTGTCCGTTTTTTGGTATGTCAACGTGAGAATGAGTCCAACGAAATAGAATATTTTTTATATTTAATTTTGATATTTCTTCTATTATTTCTTTATGATAGGCATTGATGTTTAGTATTCTCTAGGTTGTCTTAAACTGTTGTCCTTGGCTGATATTAATAATCTTCTGTCGTTTATCACTAACATTTCAATTTCATAAAAGCGCGGAAAATAGTAATTAAGAATATGTATTGTCAAAGGCACTAAATTAATTTGTATATTTAATACTATAAAGAAGGGAATTGTTACTTATTTTATTTTACATGAATAATATTTCACGGATGCGCTATGTCGAGGTTAGTAGTGCTTCGTTCGCAAAGAGTTAATATTCAGTGTGATCAAATGGCCCAATTACGAAACTGCGTCGCAAAATACCTGGTAATTCGATGATGATGTACGTGACTGGGTGCAACGTCATGGGACGAAAACGTTAAATAGTTTCAAAGTAAACCGTGGCTTACAGTGTAACTATGCAGCGTGCAATATTCTTGTACAGTCGAGTGCAACATGGGTTTCCTTTAGTTAAAGGTATCGAAGGGTAGATGTAGACCCCATAATGCAGACCTTTTTATTCCTCGCATATACATATATATATA